GGGGAAAAGAAGAACAAAAAATATAGCGAAAAATGCAACAAAAATGGTACAAACACCGGCAATGACGAAAGATATGAACTCGTCGGAACTCAATATGTGGTGCGAGAATGGCGACGGTGGTGGCCGGAAGAGACGACCGAAAATGGGGATAAGGGCTGATTAGAGGGTTGATGTAATTGAGGTGGCCGATGACGGAGATGTCGTAACGTTGGGAGCGATTGAATGGACGGTGGTCATCGACAGTTTGGTCGCTGCAGGGCGAGTCTATTGGCGGTGGTGGACATGGTTGGGAAGCTCGTTTTTTTTTATTTGTGTGAATTATGCAAAAGGACTTATTTTTGTAAATTTAATAAGTACAGGAGTTTAATTGCAATTTAAGCTACTTTAATATATTACAGTTCACGGGTGAATTTGTAATTAATCAAACTATAATTAATATTTTAATATTTCCATTTAATATTTATTATTAAAAAAATAAATATTTGTTTTATATAAAAAATTAGTATATTTGTAAACGAAATATACAGTGTAATCTAACAGCTACTGTATATTACGAAATATACAGTGCACTGTAAAGTGCAACGTGTTGATGTGTGAAACTGTCAACAATGTTGTTAAAATTGTACACTAAAATGTGTACTCAGTTCGGTCTGCACGAATAAAAATACGTGCGATTCTGGCCGAATGGCTCGTCCATCTGTGACTTTTTGTTATTATTAATGAGAGAAGAATGTTCTCATTGCATTTAATGTTGCATCTTGCTCCTTTTATAGGAAATGTGAGGTCTTTCTACAATACTCTAAGGAATTTTTAAATTTTATTTTCTTTCATTAGATATCCTAAAAATATTTAGTCATTCAACATTTAATGCTTTGTACTACACAATCTAATCCCCACATAAACGAGCAGCCCAACTTGCGACACGTGTCCCAGATGATTTAGCACCCTTAGATGGTTGATTATAGGATCCCTCAGCATTTAATGCATACCGTACGGACTATCTCCCTTAATGATTAGTGTCAACCGAACACCCCACCGCATGGCTGCTCGTTCATCCTTCACGTTCGGTCCGTTTTCTTATTTTTCTATGTGTACGCCCGCATGAACACGAACCAACTTTGGTTTGATTTTATTTTTGAGTGTTCGGCCTTTACCCCGTACAATGTAAATATTGATACGTGTACCATCAAGTGTTTTAAAACTTAGAATCTATATCACCGTCAAACTTTGAAAAATAAAAATAAACAGAAAAAAAAATAGATTTCATGTAATAAATTAAGTTCAACATTTGTAATTTAAGGAAAAAATAAGTTTTTTTTGTTGAAATTTCGATTTAAATTTAACTTTTACACAATATTCCATATAATTTTTGTTCATGAAAGCTTATCAAATGAACATTTTTTTTAAGAAAAAAAATAAAGTTAAAAATAGGTTATTACACAAAAAAGTAGTAAAAATCAACATTAAATATGTAACAATCCAACTAATAAATACTCAGTTTTACAAATCACTAAATCGACTTACAATTAAGAGACCAAAATAGTAAATCATTATAAATAAATTCAAAAGCTTATCTAAAAATTTAAAATATAAGGATTGCGATTAAATTTTTCAATAAATAAATAATATTTTTATTTAAAAAATAGCATAGGAAATAAGTTTAAATTAGTAATATATTTTAAATATTTTTTACATTTCTATACATATTGTATAGTTTTTTTATATATTTATTTATTTTTAATAAGTTTTAATAATTAATGTATTGTAAAAAATTTTGTGTTTTTATACATGTTTTATAATATTTGATGGGTCTCCTCCTAGATTTAGAGTGAACTGGTGGAAATGAGCTCCAGTCTGTTTGAGTCGTCTTCAAGTCGTCCGTGAACCGCTGCAAACACCTGCAAGAACTCAACACCGGAAGTGTTTTCCGGTGAAGAGCCTCCGACGCTCAAGTCAGTGAGAGAAGAGAGGAGGAGCTCTGCTCAGTGGGAGCAGCAGCTGAAGAATGAATGGAGAGAATGAAAGTTAGGGTTTTGGGTTACTTTAGCCCCTTTACATAGGAGTAGAAACACTTACTTGAAGTACCTAAAATGCCTTGGCCGACTTACACGAAGTACCCAAAATGCCCCGGTCGGTTCGCATTCCGCTTACTCTTGAGTCAGCATCTAGATTCCTTCTTATCCTGTGTAAACTCGCACTTGGGAACCTTCCATGTGTCGCATCTGCACATCGAGTCGTCGGAGGTCTTTATAAGTCAACTTGTAACCTTGCTGAGTCGATCTGAGGTTATACAAGTACCCGGGGGCTCCTAGAGTGCCTGCTCGTCATCTCCAACGAAGTCGTCTTATGTTCGGTCGACTTTATAAAGTCGACTAGAGACCGTGGCTGGTCCGACGGCTTTTAAATAGCCGATGGGCCAAGTCGACATCGTTGGTGTCGACTTAGTGGGGTCGTCTGCAGTCTTCAGTCGGGCAATCAATATCTGAGCCGGGCCATGACAATAGGGCTATATCATCTAGTCCCCCCCAAAAAATTACTCTAAGCGACTTTGAGTTTAAGAGTAAATTTGGTAGTTAGGCCCCCCTTTTTTTTCTTTAGTTGATGAGTCGTCTCATCTTTATTCTCAAATCGTCATGTCGATGATTCACGTGATTCGACTAGGGCGCTTGTGGTTCAACATTATCACTTAAGAACATTTCCCGAGCATATCCGTTATCATTATTTTGAATTTTGAACTTTTGAATTGGGACCTGGCACGCCGTCTCACATTTTCCTTTGCCGCTTCGAATTCTGTGCCACATCTGAACCGTTGGTTCTTTCTTTAATCCAACGGCTAGGGTTTCGCATTTTCCTCTATAAGTATCTTCTTCTTCCTCTCTCCCACACTTTTCGCACTCAAGGATTCTCGAGCTTTCTCTTTTTTCCAGCAATAAAGCATCCAGCGATTTCGGTGTGCACATCCTTCCGGCTACTTCTCCGGTGCTTTCAGAACTTCTTACTCCAGTCAATATGTGTAAGTTTCCCTTAACCTCTATTTCTGCAAGATTTTTCTGCCCATTCTCTGGGTTTTTGATTTTGGAGTTCTATGCATGTTCTTCGTGTTCTTGAGGGCCTTCGAATGATTCTGGGCATATCAGTGTTAAATCTTAAAATATGCATTTTCCGATTCAAGATTATGTTTATGAGAAAGTCGACTTTGCGAGGCGTAGTCAACTTTATCTTCTTCGCGCGTCGACATTTGTCGATCTTGGTATTTTCTGTTCTTTCTTTGCTACCGACCCTCGTCTTCTGACGAGTCCGTGTTGGGCTCGGGCCTTTTTCCTCTTCACCATCCTTCTGGCCCAATCGGTTTCCCCTAAGGTCGACTTTATGGCTAGAAGCCTTCATAGACCGACGCATTCTGTCGCCTTCTTTCACTTTTATGCTGATCTTCGTTTCTCGACTCTTTCTCGTAGATTTTGGGCCCGACTCTGTTTCTGGCTCTATACCTGGCTTCTTCGTCCGTCAAATAGAGGAATACTCAAGCTCCGATTCTGTCGAAATAATTGGCTCTAAGCCTGCAGTCGAGCAAGAGAGGTCGCAGGGTTCATCCACCTCGATTTTTGGAATAGACAGCGACGTATATACCCAAGCACTTTTGTCGGGTGACTTGATGCAAAATAAAGACGATCCTAATCGAGGTAGCGACTCTCCTCGACTAAACCTCCTTCCCCAAGGTATTCCCCTTAGGATTTTAGATGTTCCTGTATATAGGACGAGCCCTATTTCTTTGTCAATAACGTCTTCCTTTCTTAAGTCTCGAGATGTAACCGTAGCTTGTCCTTTAGCCAAGTTAGCTGTTCTAAATCCGTTTTCTTATGCCTCTGCAGCCCAAATCGAGGGATTTAGGTCGTTCAGTGGTCTGCCTTCTGACTGGGAGTTGGTTCCCCCCGGCCCCAATGATGTTTTCACTCACCCCCCTAAGGGTTGCTTTACTTTCTTCGTCGACCAAATAATGTTCGGCTTGCGGTTCCCTATTCAACCCGAGCTTTTATCGATTAGCGACATGTACAATGTACCCATAAATCAATTTTCTCCTAACGCCATTCGCATTATGGTGGCCTTCATCATAATTTGTAAAATAAAGTTTGGCCACTTCTTGCCCGAGTTTCTCTTGTATTGTTATAGTTATCGCGTTATAAAGGACGCCCATTGTCTGGGTCGTCGTCCCGGTGTTTCTTTCCTCGAGGACCTTTCCTCAAATGTAACCGAGTGGAAGACCAAGTTCTTTTACATTCGTCCTGCTCCCGGTCGGTACCCTTACTCCAACATCTGGCTTACCTCTAAGGTCAATCAAAACAATCCTCGTCCTAGGTCGAGCCAGTTTCAGAATATGCTGGATGACTTATATAAGTTCACGTGGAGTGCCCGCTTGATGGTTAAAGATCGCGGTCTTCTTAATCATGTGGGATAGTGGAAGGACGAGGACGCCCCTCGCGTCGATGATCCTCGTAAGCCCATGTGTTTGTCTGTTTCTATGCTTATCTTCTTTTATTCGTAAATTACTCGCATTTACAATCATTAGTGGTGTTTCTTATTTACTTATTCCCTCGTATTTCAGTTAAAGCTTTGCAACGCTTCGAGACTAAGAAGACGAAAGGTGGTGAAAAGTCCGCCAAGCCAGTCGTTCCCTCAGCGAGAGCCGACGACGGATCTGGCTCTGGAGTGAAAAAGGCGGTGGTCGAGACGATCGTCTCTAGAAAATCAAAGATGGTCATCCCCTCTTTACTGCCGCAGAAGAACCTGGGTTCTGGGACCAAGAAAAGGGGACCAGACGAAATCGACCCCAAGCAGAGGGCCGACTCGTCCAAGCGCCTCAAGAGTCAGGACAAGGGGAAAGCGGCTAAAGCTCCCCGTTCTCCTGGCGCCCTCGAGACAGTCATACTCGAGAGGCCCTGCCAACTCTGGAACCATCCCCATCCACATGAGATTGCCAAATACTTTGATTCGGTCATCCCTGCCGTTAACAAGGCTCGCGCCGATCGCGATCCTTCTGATCGTGCTGGTCGGGCCCTACTGTGCTTCTCTCGGGTAATTATTCTCAACTCCTGCTTTAGTCGGCTTATCTTTACGCACACTTTTGCCTTAATTTTGACGTCTTGGTTCTTCTTTTTCAGTTTATGGCATACACAATGCCAACTCTCCTCGAGGAATCAAGCTCGCCCAACTCCAACGTCCATGCTTATAAGAAGAAGTGTGAGGATCAGCACCTTGAGCTTGAAAAGAAGGACGACGACCTTGCGGCAGCCAATGCTCTGATTGCGAAGCTTAAGGCCGACAAGGCTGCCGCCCTCTCCAAGGTCGACCGACTGCGGGCCGACCTTGTTAAGGCCACTGAGGATAATGTGGCTGAGAGGGAGATCGGGAGGGAGGAGGGACGTAAACCCTTCCTCAAGTCACCGATGGGTTCCGTCTTCCTCGACGCCTATCGGAAGGAGGTTGTAGGAGCATTCTGCAATTCCCTCGACTTCCTTGAGAAACTGTGCCCTGCAACCCTTCAGTACTTCAACTTCACATTCGACGCGTGGGAGTCGACCGCGAAGGGCACTACTTGGAAGGCAAGGTCGACCGTCAGGCGCTGAAACAGTCCCTTTCTCTTCCGGTCGGCTATCACGGTTATACGTCGCTTCCCGACGATTATCCTTGGTGGACGGGTCTTGAGGCTCGGGCGATCCGGAAGGCTAAGTTGGGCACCCAGCTCGAGGTTCCCCCCACCCCTTTGGTCGGTCCAATCAACTTGGTCGAGCCGAGTGGAGCGGACGACGAGGAATAAGAGGAAGAGGCCGATGAGGAGAGGGAGGTCGAGGAGCCGAGAGAAGGGCCAGCGGTCGAGGAGACGGATGGCGGGACTGAGCCTTTGGGTGATGAGTAGGATGCGAGGACTGAGCCTGTGGCTGATGGAGGCGGGGATGCCGAACTTGGTGAGAAATCAACTGCTAATTCTCAGCAGAACTAGATGTTCGCTTGTCTTGAAGTTTGTTATTTTTCTCTCGCCACACTCGATCTATTTTCCCAGATTGTAAAGATCGAGGTGGTTTTCGGATGTATTTGAACGTCTTTTAATATAAGGCTATCTTTTCTCATCATTTGTCTGTATTTTATCGATTCTTCGTGGTTGGTTGTGCGCGTGGTTTTCCTTTTAAGTGTGTCATTGTGAGTTTTTGAATGTTTCACACAAGTTTTTTACCACGTCGTACTATATCTCATCCCCACCCCTTTTGCGAGCTGGTCGAAGTCGAGCAACTATTTTAGCAGCTGCATAGCTGGTAAACTAGTTTTTTTTTTTTTTTAACTCGTCTTCTCCCAACCCGGCTTGCGAGCTGGTCGAAGTCGAGCAACGTTTTTAACAGCTTCATAGCTGGTAAACTAAAGTTTTTTAACTCGTCTTCTCCCAACCCGGCTTGCGAGCTGGTCGAAGTCGAGCAACGTTTTCAACTGCTTCATAGCTGGTAAGCTAAAGTTTTTTAACTCGTCTTCTCCCAACCCGGCTTGCGAGCTGGTCGAAGTCGAGCAACGTTTTTAACAGCTTCATAGCTGGTAAACTAAAGTTTTTTGACTCGTCTTCTCCCAACCCGGCTTGCGAGCTGGTTCAAGTCGAGCAACGTTTTCAACAGCTTCATAGTTGGTAAGCTAAAGTTTTTTAACTCGTCTTCTCCCAACCCGGCTTGCGAGCTGGTCGAAGTCGAGCAACGTTTTTAACAGCTTCATAGCTGGTAAACTAAAGTTTTTTGACTTGTCTTCTCCCAACCCGACTTGCGAGCTGGTTGAAGTCGAGCAACGTTTTCAACAGCTTCATAGCTGGTAAGCTAAAGTTTTTTAACTCGTCTTCTCCCAACCCGACTTGCGAGCTGGTCGAAGTCGAGCAACGTTTTTAACAGCTTCATAGCTGGTAAACTTGTAACACCCCGCTTTTCCATAAACATCAGAGTGCGCAATTCGCAATTTTATTGAAAATAACATCATTTTTTACATTGCGAAATACTGATTCGGAGTGCTACTAAAATACATAATTGACTAAAAAGTCTGACACTTTCGATTACAAAAGTTAAATAATACATGACTGATAAAACTAGACGAATTCACTGTCGCAGAACTGATAATGGACTACGGTCGCACAACAGTGAATTGTCAACAGCTTGCTGACTGATAAAAGGGCTAAGTATGAAAAACGGTCAATCATCAGCGGAAGCTGTAGCTGGGAATTTGGTTAGCAATGCCGTAGTCATGAAAACATTTTATCTGAAAGTAATAACGACTTTGCTATACCAAATTCTAACTGTACAAAACATAATTTAATCTTTATAAGCATAAAGCTTAAGTAATTTAAACTTTATAAGCATAATCCCGAACAGCTCCGTCATCTCACTCCTCCGGCCCGACTTCATCACCTGAAAAACATGAATTACGTGGGGGCGTGAGTACTAAAACACTGTACTCCGCAGAAACTCATACTAAAGTAAACATTAATAATAATTGCATCATCATGATCATCATATGCATATCTGCTGCTATCTGTAACTGCTCATCAACAGTATAAACTGGATGTAAACTGTGTCTGCCGACTGTAATAATACTAGCCGGAACCATGTGCACACCCTAGTGGTCAGATCTAGCCACTAGAGCTCGGAGTGGAATTACGCTGTTGGCCACCACTCTAAGCGGAACTGATATATACATACCTCGCATGATAGCTGTAATTATACGTAATGTAATACTCAGTCTGAGTCCCCACCTGAACTGCTGAGTTGAAAATGTAAGTGCTGATCATCTGGATCCTGAATAAACTGAAAATAATATAAACAATTACTAATTACTATGCTCAGACTAATAAAATAACTGATTAACATGTTAAGAGGCTCTACTGGACTTAAACTTGATTTCTGAACTTATCCGGTATAACCGGAACTAAACTAACTCGGAACTGGACTGACATGAATTTACTAAACTGGACTGGACCCGGAATTTAACTGAAATTGGGACTTGAACATAAACCGGGACTTAAAAACTTAAAATACGGACTAAACCGTAAAATATGGGGCTGAATTTACTTAAAAATATCAATTATTGTACATTCAACCGGATAGGGTTGTGGCGGGCGCCTTGTGCGCCGCCGACGGCAACAAGCCACCCTTCAGCTCTCTTGACTCACTTCTCGACCCACAAACATATATAACTGAACGTGGGTAACATCTAATAAGGAATTAGACATGAAAACCTGATAATTATACTTGACCAAACTTAACGCTGAGTTCGGCCCGTGGCTACACAATATGCGCGACCACTCTTTCGGCCGAGCTTCCCAATTACAAGATACAGACCATAATCAAACAACCCAACATAATTCATCACTTAAAAACTGATTCAACTTAATTCACATAACCTGGACTAAATAAAACTTAATTAATGATAAATTCTGAAACAAACATGATGACTACATACGACTTCTAACCGCGGACACCCTCGCACGTAGATACACCCGGCCGATCGGCGCAAAGCCAATACCTAAACGAGACCTATTTTATTAACATGATAACACACAACTGAATTCAACAGGGTCTGAATATTATCAAATTTCTGAAATAAACATGAGGCCTGGACTAAATTCTTATATGAACACACGCACAAAAACATTCTCGGACATAGACGGCCAATCAATCCGAGACTTCAACAAAGACCTAACTAATCTACTCTCGGATGATCGACACAAAGGTAACCTTGAATTACTGAAATAATGTAAAAATCTAATACAATTACTCTAGGCCTCTCCTATACGCACGGCTACACGCAAGATCGCCCGAAACAAGATCTCAACACGAAATCGACCTGAATTCTGATTAATCCATTTTATTAATAACTTAATTCAATCAAAAACAACCTGCTCTTACCCTTGCTGCCCCCCAACAGACCACAACTCCGGCGGATAGGAGCTCTCGGCGAAGTGTACTAGGTGCTGTAAACTTGCGTGTGGTAGGGATGATGATGCCGTGCGTTTTCTCTTAATTAAAAGGAGAATTATTGATCTTACTCTGACTTTAATTCTGAACTCTCCACTCTTAATGGCTGAAAGAAATGTGAAAGGAGGAAAAGAACCTTTCGGTTTTTCCCTATATGCTAGGCCGAGAGAAGAAAATAAGGAGAGATGTGATTTCCCTTCATTTACACTTGTCTCACTAATAGTTAATTTAGAGATGACTCATATACCTCAACATTACCCACGTGCAATTGCCAAAAGAAAAGAGAATCTGCTTTCCAAATTAAAAGGAATTACACGGCTAATGAGCATACTTAATTCATAAGACATAGTTTAGTCTCTTAAGTGTGATTAATTGCTCATTAATCACTAAAATATGTTTAATTATTTAATTAAACATATTGCTTAATTACCAAAATTATTTCGAACGTAAACGATACATCGAAAATAAATTTCGGTAAATCTTAACTGAACATAATTAATTCCGAAGGTAATAACTGACAACATTATTATATCAGAACTAAACGTGATTTATATAAATAACTGAATATCTTGCTCATTAACTCTTTAAGCGTGATTATCCCTAATTAATCCTCATTAATGTTAATTAATCTTAATTAACATTAAGCTACACATGATTATCTTAAGCTAATCTTGATTAATTAGCTTAAACATGACTTAGGTTAATTAAGCAAGGTTAAATCACCAGTACTTAATTACTAAAGAATTTCGAAACATGAAATGAGTATTACAGACTTAATCCGTAATATACTTTACTGAAATTTATTCGGTTAATAAAATTAACCATATATTCTGTTGATTGACATCGAACATGAGATTGAACTTGACTGATTGACTTGGACTTGAACTGATTAACTTAGACTTGAACTGTGACATGCTTATTTATTAATAAAGACTAACTTATACTGAAAAGCTAGTATTTTCCTTTATTAATAAAACTCGGGGTGTTACAATCCACCCTCCTTAAAATATTTCCGTCCTCGGAAATACTAAACTGAAATGTACAAGCTTAAAATAAAGCTTATACTTTTTGCTGACATGACTTGAAAATTCAGTATCAAATACTGAACATCAAACTTGATTTTTTTAACTGAGAAATCAACAGTTCACAGTTAAGTGAGTTGATGATTTAACACTGACTGAAACGAAACACTTTTCTGGAACCAAGTGTCCACTGAATAAATATAATTCTGGAACGTACAGATCTTCATCTCCTGGCTGGCTACTGGTCTTCAATTTGAATGCTGATTGTGGTACTCCCCGTCGTAGGTATTCCTGGAAAATTTCAGAGATGCGCACATGTACAAAGGAGGGTAACTAGCAATCGTGGCAACTACCTTTCATAATTATCTACTCGACACGCGGCACATCATTCGCGGCACATCGTAATGCGGCATACCTGCTCCTCATCAAGTGAGTGCGGCACACCTACACACAGCACCCGGCGAAAATTGCACCTGCGACGTCGATGTAGTCTGTATGGCTGATCATATCTGTATCTTGGCTAGTAATCCTCAATGTACTATAATGCTAACTCCTTGTGATTTCCCAGGGTACTGTGACCCAACATAGTATGGCATCCTGCTCTTCTGGCGTCATGCATACTTGAATGGAAAGCTTTATTGTCACCATGGCATGATCTGCTGCTGTTGATTGGTCTTCTTCGCCGTGTCGAAAATCGACATGTTGTACCTGCAACTGTTTACCTTCCCCGAGGTCAAACTTAACCTCAAGAAAAGTTTATCATGAACTGATCTTTCCTACGAATTCTCAAATCATCTGTATTTGAGAATTGAGGCTTTGAACATACTGAAATGACTGATAAGTCTTGTCTTATTAGACAGACTATTCTTGACTTAACATAGCTGGCCTGAGCATTCACATAACTGAATATTCAGGACTTGACTTTTACATGGCTGAATCATTCTTACTTGAACTTTGAAAGCTATTCCGAAATAATTAAAATAATTATCTCGAAATTTGGAACATGACATTTACTGGCTTTCTTAACTTGATAACCGTTACTTGATAATAACTTAAAAATTTTAACAACCTTTAATATGAAAACTTGTTGCCCTGAACTTGATTTACTGACTTGACTTAGGAAAATTGAACTTATTCCCAG